GGTGTCAAGAGTTTAGATCACATTAAATTACTATTCTTTCTTCTATGATATCCCACAGCTAAGCTCTGAAAAGTTTCTTCTTTTTGAAATAATATCCTGAATTTTTCCACCCTGGTTTAAAAAGAACACATAGGCGGGGAAGGAGAGCATAGCCCCTTTTGACAGCTGATGTGGGGGGGCCCACGGGAAAACATTGCTATGTATGTATGCATGCATGTATATATATGATGTCCTTTTTGTAACCAATGTTTTTATGTTTTGTATGTATTTTATCTGTTTTGTATGTATTTTAACTCTGCTTTTAAAATTGTTTTAATTATGTACGTTTGGGAGGGAGGTTGTTTTTAATGGTTTCATAATGTAATTTTATCATGTATGTTTTTAGATTGTTAGCTGCCTTGGAGGCCGTTATTAGGGCAGAAAGGTGGGGTATCAGTGTTGTAAATAATAATAATATTTGTGTACATCTCAATCCATTATGTCAGATCGCATGACAAGGAACCAGTGTGTGATACAGAGAATTCTAGATTGCACAAAATTCTGGATATTGCATGTGGCATCGGCAAGCCTTATTAGGTCTGCTTTTCACTTTGTATGGCTAAGCGTGCCTTTGTTCTGGCTACTGCTGACCTGAAACAGCTCCCCCAATTTTGCAACCATGTTCACAGGCTGTGAAGCACATGGGGGGATTGGGTTGTTGAAAATAGAATACCATGTTCTCCACACCAGTTGACTACATTTGTGTTCCCTGTTGCTGCTAGGTGCAATTTTTTTTCTTTATGTGTAAGGCTCAGATTTGACTTTAGACTTTATTGGCTACATTCCACTGTCACAAAGCCACATCAGAGTGAGGGCAGGGAGCAACACTTCCTATCCTTACTCTGGCATTCGGTGGATAAAAAAGAGAGTGCGAAAGAAAACAATATCTAGCAGGAGTGTGGAATGTGATCGCTGCCAATGCCAAAATCGGGGAACAGGTGGGAAGATGCAGCAAAAAATTTTCATGAGACCTCTCTCACACCAATCCTAGACTTTATTGGCTACATTCCACTGTCACAAAGCCACATCAGAGTGAGGGCAGGGAGCAACACTTCCTATCCTTACTCTGGCATTTGGTGGATAAAAAAGAGAGTACAAAAGGAAACAATATCTAGCAGGAGGAATGTGATCGCTGCCAATGCCAAAATTGGGGAACAGGTGGGAAGATGCAGCAACATTTTTTCATGAGACCTCTCTCACACCAATCGTCTCCCCATTTTGAGACAAAAGGACTTCTAACAAGAACTTTCAATTCAGCAATACTAGGGAAGTTATAGTCATTCTCTTTAAAAAGTCCAGGTGAAATGGGAGGAGCGATATGCTGGCAGTACCCTGGGAAATGATGGCATGGGCAGAAGACATGACATAGGCTTCTTGCCTTTGACAGGAGTAGCTGACATTAGTAGAACAACATGAGTGGGACACGAAAGGCAGTGGCTCCCATTCCTGTAAGGTCATGTCAAGGAAGTTCTCTGGAATGCGCCCAATACTCCTCCCGGTCAGCATAACACTGGGAAAGACTAGAATGGCAAGCAAGTTGCCTTGTACCTGGCACTATTACTGATCCTCTTGTTGAAAAATCATAGCAAAGCCTCTAAGGTATTTTATTTATTTATTTTTATTTATTTAATTTTCGACTTATATACCGCTCTGACCCCGGAGGGTCTCTGAGCAGTTTACACAGCTGTTTATCCCTAACTAGGGCCACATTATTTGTATGGGGGGGCGATAACCTACCAGCACCCCAGCCGCGGGCTCAGTTGTTATTTAGTTCCTGGCTCAGCTTGTTGTTCAGTCCCTGGCAGCTCTTCGACGCTTCACTTCCTGGTGCCCGGAGCAGGTCTTAAACCGCAGCTCCTTCCGGTGGGCTTCACCCGGTAGTTGTATTCACTCATGTGGCTCATAAGCCACATATGGCACCTCTGGCTCTTCTGAGCACCGTTCCCCAATGCGGTGAGCAGCCTGGAATTCTGGAAAGTGGGCAAGGCCCAGGTGGGGGGACTAGAGTTCCCATGCCTTCATGACGTGCCAGCGGTGGGTGGGAGGGAACCTTCCAGGAGTGGGATGGGGTTCTGCCCCCAAACAGCAATTTTGCACAGCGATGTTCCCAATGCGATGACATAATGTGGAAGTGATGTCACCATGTTGGGGACGTCATGTGGCACTGCTCTGGTTTCAGGGCAAAATTCTATGGTAAAACCATTCTCAAACCATAGAGTGTTGCCCAAAAACCAGAGCGTCGCTGTGCGATGCCCCTGATATGATAACTGAGAGTGTGTAACTGGTCCAAAGGGACGTTGGGGACATTGTCGTGCAACATCGCTGTTTGGGGGTGGGGTTTCCCCCAGGAAGAAACCCCCAAAAGTGGGGGATCCCCCATTCCCATCTGGGGGGACTCTGGTTGGCAGTTGGTTCCCACCCTGAAACACCCACTGCCAGAGGAACTGAAAAGCTGCAAATCTCTCTGAGATTCAGGCCTCATGTTTGGAATGGAAGTAGTTGTGGCTCTTCTGGTTGATGATAATTGCAAATGTGGCTCTCTGTGACTTTCAGAGTAAGTATACTTGTTCTAAGGAATCTCTAGGAATACATGTAGGGTTGCCAAGTTTGGTGGGTGGGTGGGGGGATGGGGGTGAGCTTACGGGGGGGGGAGAAGCTGAAGATAAACACGACATGCCTACGTCACACAGATGTCGGGGGCGATGCTCTGGTTTGTGGGCAAAACCTCTTTGGTAGAATTAGCTTTTAATGATAGAGTTTTGCCCAAAAACCAGAGTGCTGCCCCCCCACGTCACCTTTCCTTTCCTTTTAAAAGCTCATTGATTCAGGAATCTTAAGCAGAAGAAAATACTTATTTCTCATGTTTTGGATGCGAGGGCTAAAAGGACAGAGACAAATTTCGCAGTTGCTAGAGTGATCTTAGGATCCTTATCACTGAGCAAGAAAGCCAGGGTTTCCAGGGTGTAGGGGAATGATTGGTTGATTAAAGGCCTAATACAGTAATCCCTCATAATCTTAAAAAATCTGCATTCCAGCAGGGCGTGGGAGGATGTATCAATCCTATTAACGCCACAAGGGCAGATTCTGTCGGTGTAGGGCCTATTCAGAAATCTCCCCTGCAAAACCATTGGTAGTATAATGTTCAGTCTTGCAAACAAAAAATGTTCTGTCTTGCAAACAAAAAAGTTCTCCAATAATGTGAGATGGCAAAATAGTGCATTTGGCGGGTGGGTGGGTAAAGAGTTTGGGTAAGAAAGACCAAATAATAGGGGTGAGCAACCTCTGCGGGCTCTCAGAATCAGCAAGCAAGGCGGGATACAAATCCAAACTGCTATGGTTGATTTCCAGGACTCACTTTTTAATCAGAGAAAATGCTTCGGTTTTGCCCATCTCGAAAAATCATCAAATGACATTCCACCTATCATTAATTTCTCATCCAGGGCTTTCATCCAAGTCGATCTGTGGGTATCCCGATTTAAAGCAGCTAACAAACCATCTTTGGCACAGAGCTGTTTTAGTCTCAGTTTGAAGGCATATAGCCACTTCTCGGTGACATAGGCAAGTCATGTTTCAGCTTCTTGCCTGTTTGGGGAGGTAATCCCCCACCCCCCGGCGAGCAGCTTCAGAGAGGAGCGCCAGAAACCAGGGGACCCCCGCCCGCATCAGGGAGTATGACAACCCTACTTGAAACCCACTGATTTGAATTCTGCTTTGAATGATGCTTGGATAATGAGGGCTCTTTTGCACCCATAAGGTTGTTCTACCAGGTGCATTTTTAGCACAATAAATGATAGCACATTTGTTGTGGCCCACATGCACTCCACTCAAGGTTGCACGCACTTCCACGAAGGACAGCACATGTAGATGCACTAAATTTTATATCTGGGAAAATGCACTGTTTCCATTTGAGGGCTGGTCTACACAAGGCATTTTACCATGCTCCAAGTGGCTGACGTGATGTCTAGCATGAGATTTGCCAATAGAATTGATCATTGTAGACTTTAATTTGCACTGCGAGGTGTAAATGATTTTTTAAAAAGCTTCCCCATCGATCTGTTTCCCCACCTCCCCTCTCTCGGAGAACTTGTTGTCTGTAGTGTTGAACGAAAATTTGGGAGACCCAAGTTCAAAAACTCAGTCTGCCATGGAGGCTGGCTGGGTGACTTTGCGCCAGTTACACACTCGCAGCCTAACCTACCTCACAGGGTTGTTGTGAGGATAAAACAGATGAGAGGAGAACAACGTAACCTGCTTTGGGTCACCAGTGGAGACGAAGGTTGGGTATAAATTAAGGAAACAAAATAAATCAAAAAAATCTTATACGTCATTGATAGTTTTCTAAAGGAAGTTGTAGAAGCACCAGGACATTGAAGAAGAACCATAGATAGCTAGATACTCCCCATTCCTTCAGACAGTTTGGAATCAGAACTCAGTAACTGAAAAAAACAAACAGAAAGCCCACCCCTGGGAGCATAATGCTCAAAACGCCATGGCATAAAAAGATCACACGAAATCATAATAAAACTCTTGAACTGGCAAACTGGCATAATAGAACTCTTGAACTGGGCACATGGTAAGCCTTATAACACACACACATATATATACCATGTGAAAATACAAATTTTCCTGTGGTGTGAATACATCTTCTAGACTAGGCCTCAGTGTGTTAATTTTTATAGGGCTGCCAGCCTGGGATTACAGCTCTCCTGGGATTACAGTTCATCTCCAGACTACAGAGATCAGTTCCCCTGAAGAAAATGGTGGCTTTGGAAGTTGGATTCTATGACATTACACCCCAATGCGGTCCTGCCCCTCTCCAAACCCTGCCCTCCCCTGGCTCCATCCCCAAATCTCCAGGAATGTTCAAATCCAGAGATGGCAACCCTATAAGCGTCTTGATTCTCCATGTTACTTATTACATCCAAAATGAATGATACATGGTAATGATTCAAACAATTTACCTTTGGGCCATTTTTTGCTTTTGACCCGCAAGGAAGCGTAGTGAAAAGACTAGGAAGAAAGAGAGAAGATGCCAGTCAATACAAGCCCATGGTGGAAAGCAGAACAAAGCAACTGTAGAAGAAAGCCAGCATTCGAACATGTCACATGATTTCTTGCCACGGTTCTCCTCTTGCTGCCCTGAAGAAATGCTCTGCAATTTTATTTAAAAGATATCTGTTCCACACTCTCCAGCGTCTGCCCAAGGTAGCTGACAGCATAAAAATTAATCAGTAACTAATACAATTTAGAATATGCACACAAACCAATATGATACAGTTCAAATGTCTTAAAGCTTAGTAAACCAGAACACCAGCAGTATTTTAAAATAACCACTAAAATCAGCATGAAAGCTAATCTCAAAGCAGGACGAGAACAAGAAAAGGAGATAAAATTTACTTTAAATCTTGGTTTTGGCCCAGTGCCTAAAAGCCAGTAATGTTGATGCCAGGTGAGCTTCAAGGGGGAGGGCATTTCACAGACAGGCCTCCACCACTTGGAAGACTCCATCGCTGTCTGCTATCCCTCTGTCTCTGTGGGAGAAGTAACTACGGTTGCCAACTCTGGGTTGGGAAATTCCATGTAAAGCACATAGCAGTAATCCATCTTGGAATGTGATTAAAACATATATCTCCATGGCCAAATTATGCCTTTCAATGAATGGCTATAGCTGGTGTACCACCTGAAGCGGATAAGAAGCGCTATGTGCCACGGAAGAGACCTGAGCCTCTAACTGTATAGGCCAGGATCCTCCAGTCACTCCCAAGCTATTTTGAGTGCATTCGTGTCTTCTCCCTAAACTGCTGTTTGTCTGAATTGTATTTATTTACCCATAATATTTATATCCCATGCTCTGAATAAAAATAATAATTCCAGGTCAGTGTACAACATCTAATAAAGCATACAGATTAACAATAAAAGCTGGCAGCATAAAAACCAATAAAAAGTCATAAACCAGATCATTAAAACAGCAAAAAGAAGCAGAGATTAATAGATAAAAGAAACATTAAAAAACTAGCAATCACAGCACCAGTACCCCATAGATTCAGAACTACAGGGATGATTTCTCACTAGAGCTGCCTCGCAGCACAGCCGCCGTTTGCCCGACACAAACATGTCAATTTCACACCCGAAGCTCTGGGGCTGCATTTTGACTCGTGGCTTCGCCCAATTTCCTCCGCAGTTTCGTGATCCTGGTTTTTGAGGATCATGAAACTGCGGAGGAAATCGGGCGAAGCCGTGGGTCAAATGCAGCCCCACAGTCTCAGGTGTGAAATTGACATGTTTGTGTTGGGGCAAACGGTGCTGCGCTGCAAGGCAGCTCTAGTGAGAAATCACCCGAGGTTGTCCAAAACAGATAGGATCATCAGATTTACACGGATGAATTAATTTTTATTCTCTGGTAATGCTCCAGCACATGGTAACTACAGCCTCTTTCCCCAACATGGGAAAATCAGCGCAGTCCAGCACAGAGGACTAGGTCCTGATACTCAACTGACAGAATACCTGCTTTTGAAGCAATCTTTCTTTAAACCTTGAGAAAGCATTAAAGTGAAATGTGGAGATATTAGGCTGGCTCACACATTGGGGAAAGAGGAAAAGAAACCAGGAAAAGCTACAAATATATTGGTGGACTAATTTGTGGATGTATATATGGAATTGTATTTCTGAATATGTTTACCTTAGAGTCACTCTTTTGGTGGAGTAGCATTCACCTGCAGAAAAAAACTACTCAGGATTTGTCCACTAATCCAGAGTCACTACCCTGTGTTTAAGTCTGTATTGTTATAATAGTCACTTGCCTATACTATTTGTAACTGGATTACTTAGATATACAAGTGACCAGTGTACATAATTGGTAATTGGATTACTTAGATATATAAGAAAATAATATAAGGATGGTATTTAACTATTTTGATATCAGTTTCACAGTTCTTGTTGTTGCTGCATACTACCCCAGGCACACACAATCAATAATCCTTTTAATTACTTAGAGCACCTTTGAGCATCTAGAGTTATCTCTCCCCCTTACTGGGAGCTTTGCTCTATGGGTTAGCATTCGACAGGGGTCTGCCCCAATCCACTCCGTTATTCAGCTGCATATGTTGACTGACCCAGCCTTAAACACAAAACCCTTGCCTTTGCAGATCCTTGATATAGTAATCATGGGCAAGTTGTGTTGTGATTTTACAATAAAACAGTTCTTTCCTGGGTCCACAATAATGATGAAATATTTCAATTTCTAAAGGAATTCCCCCACTTTCCTGGAACATGGGGCAGGTGCCATGGGCAACAGTGCTCAGATGAGCCACCTGTTGCATGTCAAAGAGCCGCGTGTGGCTTCTGAGCCACTGAGTATCACTGATCTAGCACATACATGTTGTCTGCTTATGGCTACCCACCTGGAGGTATATATCTACCACCACAAAAAGGAGTCAGCTTCCAGCATGCGTTGGCCGATGATGGAGAGAATGTTTGCAACTGAGGGCCACGAGCGGATTCTGATCCATGGCGGCAAATGCACATGACTGGTTTCAGATAGGTACTTTCCCTATAGCTTATCAAGCACTTTCACCTCCATAGCCAGCAATGGCTGTGCAAACTGGTTCCAAGATGCCTCTTTCCTCTCTATGCCCTACTAACATATGTGCATTAGATTAAAGCCAGCTCATGGTTTCCACTCGCCTCTCTGGTTTCAAAATGAAGTTTCCGTGCACAGCCGCACAGAACAGAAACTTGATGGGATGTTCCAATGGAAGCTTCCACACTGCAGCCAAATACCCTCCACGATTGTGTCAGTGCAGCCTGCGCAACGGCCTGAATTTCCATACATGCAAATCATTTTCTGAATGCATCCAAATCATACAGCTAGAAGATTAAGTCCAACTTCATTGATCCCCGCTCCACCTGATTACCTCCCAGGATTCAAATCTCAGCATCACAAGTCTCAGAGGGAAGGAGAAAATGAAGTCCATTATACCAGGTTTCTCACAAAACAGATAAGGGATTATTCAAAAGGTGAATCAAGCTTTTCTCCCCCAGCCCAAACCAAACTAAAGTCACTAGCAAAGTCAGCCTTAAAAACCTTTGCACCAGCATGAAAAAATAGGGGGGGGGGATGTTGCAAAACAGTGAAATTCTAAGCAGGTCGACTCAGAATCCTACTAAAGTCTACTCAGTGGGGCTTACTTCGGCTTCCTTCTTTATCTAAAATCTCTATACTCTGCTTTTCTCAGCTTTTACTATCCACAAGACAGTTTACAGCAATAAAAACAGTACCTGTTAGAATGTAATAAAACAAGAACATCACAAAGGCAAAAGCGAAAAATGATGCAAGAAAGCCATGAATCAGACCAGGGATGGCATGCCTGTTGTTTTCAACCCCCAAATCCATATTTCGATTTCATTTCTCCCTTGTGTGCAGGGGTCATTTCCTGCGGGAGCGCACAGGAGCGGAGCTCCGGCAGTAAGGAGCCCAGGGGGCAGGCACATGCAACAAGCCCCTCCCCCTGCTCTCAGCAGCCCTCAGTCCGGCCACAAGGAGCAAGAAGCAGCCAGGTAAGTTGCAGAGCCCCCCCATCCCGCCTTCAGGTACAAGCTCTCCCTCCTCTGTGAGGACAGATCTGCATGTCCCCCCCCCTAGCTAGCAATCCAAAACAGTCCAGTAGAGCCAGAGTGGTGGGTGTTGCCTTCTGACACACTTCCGGTGATGTCAGGGTGTGTGGCATATGCAAATAAGTTATGCAAATAAGTTATGCTAATGAGTGCCTGCACCTCTTTTTCTACGAAATGACCCCTGCTTGTGTGAATCAAGCCCTCTGTTTTTTTAAATTTTCCATTTTCTTGCACTGATTTCTTCCTATAAAATCCAGACATTTTCAATGTTACATGTGTGCCAATGTATCAGCATTATTCTTTATATGGCTATTACATGGCTCAAAGATAAACATGGTAGATGTAGATTCAGGTGGATAGCTGTGTTGGTCTGAAGCAATAGAACAAAGTTTGAGTCCAGTGGCACCTTTAGGACCAACAAAGTTTAATTCTGGGTATATGCTTTCGTGTGCATGCAATAAAGTTAAATTCTGGGTATAAGCTTTCGTGCGCATGAAAGCGTATACCCAGAATTAAATTTTGTTGGTCTTAAAGGTGCCACTGGACTCAGACTTTGTTTTATGGTAGGTGTAAATACTGTAAAAATTATGCAAAGGCTGTACAGGATGCATATCCTGCAGAAACGAACAGCAGAAAGTAGCAAACCAAAACTGTTGACATAAATGCAAACAAATATAAAAAGAAAATAAAGAGGAAACATTCACAGAGCCCAAAGTCAAACTAATCCTCTGCAGTTCTAAATGCCCTGTGTCATAACCACACCTTGCTTTCCTGAACTCCAGCAGGGATGGAGCCAGGTAGGTGCCTTGTAGGAAGGAGATGCACGAAGATGGTGCCACTGCTGAAAAGATCATGACTTGCACAGCTACCCACGGCACTGTAAGTATATGAAGTGCAGAGAGTAAAGACCATTGGTCTCCTGAGCTCAGTACCATCTGCTGACTCTCCAAAATTTCAGACTAAGGGCCTAATTACACAATATGCAGTTCTTGCATTACGTCTGGGTCTACTATGAGGATCTTAATTTTTTTATTTTATTAATAATAGTAAGGGAGCTTGTACAAACATCAATCAACATACAAAAATTCTAAACTATAAATGGTTTGCAACTACAACTATGTCTCTGTATAATAATTGTGTTTTGGGGTGGCACTTTGCAGCTCTCCCATTGGCTGTGCAATGTGCTCCCTCAGCTTTTGGCCCATCAGCCACCACTCAAGAGTACTCATGTGCCATTGGCCGGGTGCTGGGTCTGCTCCTCTTTCCCGCCCACTCCCCCTTCAGCCACTGTGCCCTGTCAGAATTACTGGCAAATGGCTTTTTCTCTTGACGAAGACACTTCTCCTGCTTGCCTCCTGAGTGGGACTAACTTTCCCCTCAGTGGAACTCATTGGGGC